GTGTGCTAGGGCACGTGAGACTCTTCAAGGCACAGTGCCTGGCGTGGTACACTCTGAGTAAGCACTAGCTAATGTTGCTGTGATGACATCACTGTTTCTCCGCTGTGTTCTTACTGCACCCCAGGCACACACAGCTCGGGCAAGTCAAGGAAAACTTCCTGAAGGAGAAGATTCCTGAGAACTGAGGTATAGAAGGGAGGGAAAGGCATTGCAGGCTGGGGGAGCAGCTTGTAGAAAGTCACAGGGCATGAGAGAGCATGGAATTCAGTGGGACAGGAGTGTTGGAAAGACTGTGTGTTGGGGAGAAGAAATGAAATGGTCCTAGGGAAGAACCTAAGATTGGAAAGTGCAGGCATGAAGCCATAGATCCAAGCAGAGGGAGGGTGGATTTCTAGTTTCTCTGGAAGCCTTAGGGTGATAGGGACTGAGTGAGTGAGTACAGCCAGCAAATGAGCTCATGCTACCTTTACCAGAGGGTGGGGGGGAAGAATGGGTCAGCAGCCCCCTGCATCGTCCCCTGCCCTCGGAACCCATCTAGGAAGTGAGTTTGAAAGTTGTCCAGGCAGACAGATTAGGTCATCGTGAGATGGGGTGCTGGCTGAATGACTGAGCTGCACCCACATGGCCCCCCCAGCAGCCAGAGGAATGAGCTCATGGCTGTCACAGCCTCCTCCCCTCCTGGCCACCACCGTGTTCCATGGTCCAGAGTGAGCCAGGCATTTGAACAGCAGTCCCTGTGTGCAAATTACGTCCTCTGGAGCTGGCATGTCCCTGCTGCACAAAGGTTGACAAGCCCGGGAGGCTGGTCCCTTGCAGGGGGTGGAGTGGAGAACTGCCCGTCGAGGCTCACCTCAGCCTGATGGGGTTATGGTCTGGCCTTGTTTTTCCGGATGCCCAGTCCCAGGTCTGATTTCCTCCTGAAGTTCTCTGCCTTTGCAAAGCCCAGAGCAAGAGAAAATGTGGTCCCCAGAGTAGGAAGGAGTTAGGTTAGATGTAAAGAAAGCCGCGTAGGTGCCCATCAGTGAATGAATGGATCAAAAAACTATGGTATATTTACACAATGGAATTCTATGCAGCAGAAAGAAAGAAAGAGCTGCTACCCTTTGCAACAGCATGGATGGAACAGGAAAGCATTATGCTAAACGAAATAAGCCAGGCGGTGAAAGACAAATACCATATGATCTCACCTTTAACAGGAACCTAATCAACAAAACAAACAAACAGGCAAAATATAACCGAAGACACAGACATTGAGAACAGGCTGTCAGTGACCAGGGGAAGAAGGGAGGGAATTTCAGGGGAAAGGGGAAGGGTTTGCAGGAACAAGTATAACGGACACATGGACAAAAACTGGGTGGGGGGGAGGGTGGAAACGGGAGGGAGGTAGGAAGGGCTGGGGGGTGGGTTGGGATGGGGGTAAAAGGCAGAAAACTGTACTTGAACAACAGTTAAAATTTTAAAAAATTTTTTTAAAAAGGAAAGCCACCTGCCCAGCCTCTCCAGGGCTCGCCCACATCCTGGAAGTTCCCGGTTTGTTCCAACAAAGGGAAAACCCCCACAGCCCTTCCGGCCCAGGCTTGTAGGTAACAGATCTGGAGCCAGAATCTAGGCATTTGGTCCCAGCCCTTGCTCTCACCACGTGGATACCACAGTCAAACCTGGGTCACCTGTGAGCAGGGAGGGAAGGAAGTAGGGTCTAGTGTGGTGGTTTTGTAAGCTGGGCTCTTTTCTTCCATCCCATGGCAGACCGTTTAGTCTGGCAGGATGAAAATGCACCTGAGTCCTGAGAATCTGGGGGAAGGTGAGGTCAACTGGCCTCCTCCCTCAGTTGGCTCTCCAGGCAGGACAGAAGGGCGCAGAGGCTGGCGCGGGCCGCCCAGCAGGCCAGGGCCCGACAGGACGGCCGCTCAGTGCAGCAGAGGGCCGGCTGGTGCCGTGACTGATGGGAGGCACTGACAGATCTTATCATCTAAAAATAATATTTTAAAAATTAAATGTATTGGGGTGATGTGGGTTAATAAAGTTATTAGGTTAAGAATATTTTTACAGTGTGACTTTAAAGGTATACTTTTAAAAATGGAGCAGGCACGATGTTAAGGGCTCTCTCTATTTGTTACTTTAATCCTCCTCACAACAACCCATGAAGTCCATAGTATTACCTCCAGGGGCCCATTCATGAGCGAGGGACCCAGGCAGTCCTGTAGGGCCCTGAACTGGGCTTAACACTCTGCTGTTGCCATCTTGAAATCCGTAGTTCCTTTCTTTTAACTAGGAGCCCTGCATTCTCATTTTGCACTGAGCCTAGCAAATCACATAGCCGGTCCTGGTGACCCCCCCCCCCGCCCCCCACTTCTCAGAAGAGCATGCAGAAGCAGAGCGGTCATAATGCAACAAGCCCACAATCAGAGACCTGGGTGCCCCAGGGGCCTGACCCAAAGGCCCACACCCTCTGGAGTGGAAAGAGCTGACCAGAGTCTGAGGACTCTGTGCCTAAGTCCCACTCTGGGGACCTGCCTATGGCCATGGGTGGGTCCCTTTGACCCTCCCAGCCTTGATTTTCCCATCCATGAAATGGGGTGTCCCCTGCTGCCCGGGGCTACTAGGAGGAGCAGTGATGTGAACAGGGATGCATTTACACACTCCCGAAGCTCCACTGATTAAAGGATCACCAGGAGCTGACTCACAGCACCCTGGCGCTCTGTCCTGCCTCCACATCGCCCTGACACCGTCTTCAAAGACCTCCAAATTGATTTAGAAACCACTCATTAAAATAACCTCCCCCTTCCCGAGGAGGCAGCCACATAAAATCATCTAGTCATAGCTGTCGCCCGACCCAAAGGGGAGACCTTTCTCTAACAGGGTCTCGCTCCGGCTGTAGGTGGCCCTGCCCCCTTGGGTGGGTGTGTGGCTGGCAGAGATGGAAGGGACATGGGACTTCTCATCAGTTTCATCTGCTCACGGTTGTCTGCCATTAGATCCTCTCCAAAACACTTTGCTGGAAGTAATCAGAGCTCCCGTGTCAGTGGGAAGGAGCCCTGTAGGGTAAAGGTGCCCCAAAGCATGCTCAAAACATGCTGGCACCTCCACAAAGAGGTAGAGGCGCCTGGAAGCGGCCCCAGCAAATTGTTAATCAGTCTTTAGATTAGGAGAGATTCTAAAGATGCCCATGTGACTGTGAGACATACAGAAAGACACCCATGGGAACACCCCACCATTTGGGAGCATGCTAAGCCTATAGAGTACTCGTACCAACCTTAGTTCTGCCGATGCGCCAAACCTAAGAGGCTGGTATTATGGCCCCATTTGACAGGCAAGCAAGCTGAGGCTAAACTAGCCTGACAACTCCTACAGCTAAGGCCGTCTGGCTTCATGCCTAGTGTTTCTATCCCAAGACCAATGGTTCTCAGCCCTGATGGCTTACTCGGACCCCCTGGGGATCTTGAACGATATGCTGACCCCTGAGTTCCAACCCAGATGAACTGGATTATAACCTCCAGGAGTGTGGCCCTGAAATCATCCACATTTGTGGAAATTCCTTGGGGGATCTTCACCTGCGTGGCTGGAGGTGAAATTGAGGTTTCTCTGCCATCACATGGGGTGGAATATCCTTCCTCATTCCTCAGGAATGCCCCAAAGCAGAAGGCATCAGAGCATGGGAGAGGGCAGCCAATCTTCCTCTGGTCAGATTACACCACAGGTGGGAGTTGTGGAAATGTCTGGAACAGACAGAAAGCTCTGCTCTTCTTGAGCATCTGCATGCCCTCATTGGAGAGAAACCACGTTTGGAGAAAAGGCTCTCCCTGGGCAGCTCAGACTGTGTTTTGACTTTGCCCCCCACCCCCCCAATTCTGCCTCCTTCTTTGCCTGCCCACGGTCACCCAATGCCCAGTCCCCATCACCCTAGACGAGTGCTCACGACTCTTAGTTCCAGTTTTTCCTGTTTGCAGAGATCTTCTTAGGCACATACAAGTCAATAAAAATCTCTCTTCCTTCTTGTCCTTTTCACACCAAGGGTGGCATACTCTCCAGGCTGCACATCTTGTTTTTTTCAAGTAAGCTTTATCTTGGACGTTGCTCCACATCATTTCCTTCTTTCTCACAGCTTGCCCTCGGCCCAGATTTTTAAAACACCCTGAAAACTAAGAACTTCTCTCCATAGGCCAAATCAAATGATCCTGCTCTGATGTACCCTGTGGATGCAAGGAGGTCAGGGGGACCAAATTGTAACTGTGGGTTACTTCTCTACCCTGGGCCCTGACTTTATGAGGCAAGCCCCTTGGCTCAGCCTTCTCCCAGAGGCTGGGAGGCCGAATCAGATGAGAGAGCCCTTGCCCAGGAGGCATGGCAGTGTGGGCATGAACACGATAACCATCTTCCTAGAATGGTGAGTCACTCGGTTTACCAGCCAACCATGAGTGCAATCGGCTCTTCATTGGCTGCAGGTTTATTTGCTTCCTCCTCTGAAGAGGTGAGGTAAGATGTTGTTCTTGGAGGAAGAAGCTGAGAGTGTGCTGTAAGACTGGCCCTGAAGGGCCTGGCCGGAGGACAGGTGCTGTGGTGGGCTGGGTGGGGCGGGGCCGGTGGCTCCTGGACCCAGCGGCACACCTGTGTTCTGCTTAGGGACCCGCAGGCAGCTGCCTCTCAGAGAGGCCTGAGCCCTCAGAACCAAATGACCTGGCGTTGTCCTTGCTAATTGCTGAGAGCTCTTGGGTGAGTCAGAGACTCAGGTGTCTCACATGTGAAATGGGGACAAAAGCAAATAATTACACTTGTAGTGAGGATTATGAGATAATAGGGATGGAGTCATTTCATAAATGGTGAAACGCTGTACAAAGTATTGATTTATTAGTCACTTCTCTGCCTCACTTCTAGTCCTGAAGTAGCAATTAGCAGCCTTGTCAGTGAGCCTCTCTGAGCCTCAGTGTCCCCTCCTGGGGAACCCAGGAGCTTGCAGGACTTGTTCACATTCTCTGCTGACATCGTCTGCACCCTTCTTGCAGGGGTCTCACCAGCCAGCAGCTTCCCGCTTCTCGCCACCCGCCCTTCCCCACGAGGAGGAGCTGCTTCCCCGCCCATCTCTGATCCGCCTGCATCTCCAGGACTGATAGATCTTGGCAAAGCTGCCCCCAAAGATTCCTGCTAATGCTTGTCTGTTCCTGCCTTTTGCGAAGCATGGCGCCCACAGGACTCCAGAAAGATTTTTAAACCCGAAGCTCTGCAGCTGCTCCGGAAGGCACTCTGTGCAGCTCATTCCCGGCCCCTCTTGGCTCCGGGAGCTGCCCACATCCCAGCGATGCCCTCAGGAGCCTTGGCCCCAGCTGGGTGACATCATTCCAGAGCGGGCACCAACCTTGTCTCACCTGCCAGGACTCCCTCAGCACCTCTACCACCTCCCATGTCTGACGGCCCCTGCAGACTCTAGAATGTCTGTGCCCCAGATCCAAGTGGAAGAAGAAGAGGGGCTGGCAGGAGCTGCCCCACCTCCTGATGACCACCTCCGGAGCCTGAAGGCCCTCACTGAGAAACTGAGGCTGGAGACCCGCAGGCCCTCCTACCTGGAGTGGCAGGCCAGGCTGGAGGAACAGGCATGGCCCTTCCCGAGGCCAGCTGCTGAGCCGGGGGCATGCGGGGAGGAAGAGCCCTCCCCACCGAGAGAGCCCAGGAAGCACCCCCCGCCTGATGACAGTGCCAGCCAGGATGATGGGACCCGGCCCACAGGCAAGCTGGAGGGCTTTGAGAACATCGACGAAGCTATAGCCTGGCTCAGGAAGGAACTGGTGAGTGGCTGCCCCTCCAAGGATCCCCAGAGAAAATGCTGTTCTCTGTGTGTATCTCTGTGCCTGTCTCTCTCTGTCTCTGTTTCTCTCTGTTTGTGCCCCTATCTCTACTTCCCCCAATTGCAAAATCTGTCGTCTTTCTATGAAATTAGGGGTAGACTTCATCGCTACATGGTTTCATGACATCCATGCGTCAATAAGCCCCTAATCACAGATACTTATGAAGCCGTGTTGCCCATGAGAACCTGAGCCCAGGAAAGGTGTCCCCAGCCTTTCCCAGTGCCACCCCCGACAGCACAGTCTCCTACTCTCGTCCCTGGCAGGGGGCTCCTGAAGTAGGACTGCCCCTCCCTCTCTCTGAACCCCTGTCACTTTGCCATCCACGGAAGCTGCCGCCTGGCTCCTGTGACCATTCACTCGCTGTGCCTGTCCCTGCAGCGCTGTGCTGGACAGTGGGGTGAGCTCAGGGCAGAGTCATCGGGGCACAGAACTGTGGCGGGACCGCTGTAAGTAGCACAGGCTCAGCCCAGCAGTGCTCTGCTGACACTGAGCGGTGCACACGGAGCCGCACAGAGGCCAGCGTGGCTGGGCAGGCCTGCAATGAAGGCTTCGGGCTGAGCCTCAGAGGCTGGATGGGAATCTGCCTGGAAGTCAGGGCTAGGCAACATCCAGGTGAACTGAGTGTAAGTGACAGGCATGGCTTTGGGAGCTGGGGCCAGCAGTTCAACCTTCTTTCTGCCCACAGGCACAGCAGGCTCCCAAAGGTGGTGGGCATGCAGAGCTGTGTGCCCTTCGCCCAGGGGGAATCTCTGGTCCCAGACCTGATGGCCTCTCAGCAGAGGCATGATGCTAACCCAACCCATCCGCCCCATCACCTGCGGCCCAGGTCGCACCTGCCCAGTCAGGCCACTCTCACCCCAGGTGAGCAAGTCATCAAGGGCCAGCTGCCTCCCAGAACCACTGGGAACTTCTGAGTCAACTGCGTAGGCAGAGGCCTGTTTTGTTTGTTTTGTGTAATCCTAAAAAATACATCCCCATCAGGGCCTGGAAATTCCCCGAGAGTTGAAATAAGTAACTGGGACTGGGACAGGGGGTGTTTAGAGACTCAGGCATCTGATTAATTGAAAATCTTTTTTTTTTTTGGTTTTAATCTTTGTTGTTGACACTGCTTCTTAAAAAACATCATTCTACTATGTCTGTCTTTAGTAACTGGGTTGTAACTTGGTTTGCACCAAAGACGGGGCACCTGTGGATTCTCGATGTGCCACCAGACATGGCACCGCCACTGGGCGCTCATGAGGCTGTAAGAGGGCAAGGGAGGTGGACTCTCGGTGGCCAGGGCAGACCCTGGATGCTGCCCTTTAGATTCCTGAGGATGAACTGCTTTCATTTGTTTTCATAAAGAAGAACAAAAAATATTTCCATTAATCAAGGATTCAATTTGTTTGTTTAGGGTTCATGTGAGGTTCTGTTGCCTTTGGGAGCAGAGGCTTTTACTCCCTAAGTGAGCATCCCTACCTGCTCCCTCTGGGGCCGAAACCAGAGGTGGAACCCTCTGTGTGTGAGCCGGTGGGGAGTTCTCTGGAGCTTGTCCCCCTCATTCTGTAGGTGAGAGGGGTGCCTCTCAACCCAGGCCACATATTGGAATCACCCCGGAATTCCTGAAACACCCCAGACCATGCCCCAGGCCAATCAAATGACCATCTGAGGTGCGGGGGTGGGGGGTGAGTCCTTGGCATCAGTAGTTTTTAAAGCTCCCCGGCACTTCAAAAATACAGCCTAGGGGGTGAGCCTGCAGGCCACACTCATTTTTCTCACCAGGCAGAACAAGGTGCCTGGCCGGAGTATGCTGGCTGAGACAAGGAAGGTGAGACAGGTCAAGGACAACCACGGGTAATGCATAGAGTAGTACCCCACAAGTGGAAAGAGGGGCATTAATTGGGAGGACTACCTCAGCTACCAAAGGTTGTCTTAAATAAGTACAGGGAGTATCAGCATTATTACTAATGCTTTATATTTGCAGGGTATTTTCCACCCTCCCTCTACTTCTCCGTGCTGCCAGGGGTGGGTAACTAGACTAATAATAATAAGAGATTTGTCACTGACTGAGTGCTCACTGTGTGCTAGGTATATCTATGCATTACTTACCTCTTCTGATTGTCACATCACCTTCCTGTTACCCCCACTTTACTAAAGAAGAACCTGAGGACTGGGGAGGAACGTAGCAATAAGTGAGAGAGCAGAAATCTGAACGGTGGCCCCTCTGCTTGGATCGCCTATGCTCTTCTTAGCCACCGTACCACATAGTATCTTTCAAGGACAGTTGACTGATTGCTAGGGCTTTGCTGTGTGATTCCTAAAAACGTAAATTCACAGAGCTGTCAGCAGTCAACAGAATGGTGAGGGTGCAGACAAAGGGAGAGACAAGATCTAATGAGGAGTCCACCCTCACTCCGTTATCTCTTCAGTTCTTACAACAGACCAGTGCCACTGCAGTTATTGTCTCCGTCTTACAGATGAGCAAATCGAGGCTCACAGCAGTCTGATGACCTGCCTAGAATTATATGACTAGTAAGTGGCAGAGCCAGAGCTTGAACTCAGCCTTCACCCCTGGGAATAGGGAGCTTTGGGGAGGGAGGCAGGAGATGAGGTTGCAGAGGTGGCCCCCTGCAGAGGGGATATGCCACTCTGGTTACGTGGTACAGGATCTCTCAGAGCAGTGATTCTCAAACTCTAATGTGTACACAGATGACGAGTGTCTCCTATTAAAACGAAGATTCTGATCCTAGAATCTCCCAGAATAATGTAAGAAAAATGAGGCCTGTGATCCCCAGAAGCTCCCAACTCAGCGTGAGAATTGATGATGTGGGGACTATCGACCAATGAGAGGGAATGGACTAAGAATCAGGAGGTCTTACCTCTTTTCCTTTTCTTGGCTGTCTTGCAGTGCAAAGGAGAGGGCAGAGGGAAGGAGAGGAGACCCAGTGGTTGTATTCAGCTGAAATAACAGCACAAGGCAGTCCCGGGCTATAAGATTCAGGCAGGGGCCCTTTGGTCCCATTCCCTGTCTAGTTAGGACAACTCACGCTCCCCAAATGCCATCATTTAGGCGCTGGTGTGGATAGAGGCCAGGCGAACAAGACAGGGTTCCTATCTTTATGGGGTTTCCCCCTTTGTGGAGGAAACAGAGGAGTAAACACAGTGACATGTGTAACAAGAGCTATGCTAGAGGTACAATAAATATAGTTCCAAAATGCTCAGGGGAGCTGAGGCCCATGGTGAGTGGTCGCTATGTGCCAGGCACAGTGGACGATGAAACTAACCAAAAGGAAATACACAAACCCCCAACTTCCTCAGCAACCAAATCCACAGCTTTAAGTATAACTGTCATTAAGCTTCTCTTTATTTCTCCTATAATAATTAAAGCCCAGCTCTGGCTGGGTGACTCAGTTGGTTGGAGCGTCATCCCGTACACCAAAAGGTTGTGGGTTTGATTCCTGTTCAGGGTGCATATGGGAGGCAATCAATTAATGTTTGTCTCTTACATAGATGTTTCCTTCTCTAACTCCCCTTTTCTCTTTTGTCAACCCCCCCTTCCTCTTTCTCTCTGAAGTTAGTAAACATATCCTCCGGTGTGATTAAAAAAAAATTAAAACCCAGTTCCTCTGATGGCCACCCTTCTGGCCTAATAACTACACAACACACTAGTGTCTAATGCGTAGTGTGGATGAGGCACCAGGACGTCTGTTGGAATATAGCCCCTCCCCTGCTCTCCATGGAAATGCAGGTTCCATGCTGTGAGTGGTGTCAGGAGTATAACAGGTGCCTGCAGGGGGTTCTCAGGCCACTGGCCCATCACCTGGTCACAGGCAGAGTGGGAAGAGTGTAGGCTTTGTACCTAGATTAGACGTCCAGTCAGACTCTAGCACATCCTAGCTGTGTGACTCTAGGGAAACTGGTTAGCCTAGCACTGGGTTTTGTCACTGTGAAACGGGGGTAATGAATACCTGCCTGGCAGGATGTTGTGGAGGGACAGGGAGGCAGGCCGGGGAGAGGCACCAGGTGCCTGCTGACTTTTTGGAGCAGTCAGGTACTAGGTTATGTTCATCTATACGCATCATATCACTTAATGGGCACCGTCACTATCCCCATTGTGAGAAGAAAAACTGAGGCAAAGTAACTTGCCCAAGACCAACTAGCAGAGCAGGGATTTGAACCCAGATCTGCCGGACCTCAGAACACCTGCTCTGAATGGCTGCTGCACAGCCAGTCACTCCTGTGATCACATGGGTGGGAATACACTTTGCATTTCATGAAATTTTATGCTCATTCAACACATCCTCTTACGTGCTGGAACTTTGGGCTGTCACTCTCCAAAGTTTACTCGATGTTGCCCTCTTTCCACGAACTCCCCTCTCTCTCTGAGAAGGGTGCTCATTATTATAATACAACGGCCAGGTGTGGTGTCCAAGTCTGAGGTGTTCCCTGTGGCTGGACAATTCCTTTCTGAGGGATATATTATTTTACAAGCTTGTGGACGTCACCCCCCACCCCACCCCTGCAGGTGGATGCCAGGGTCTGAAAAACTGAGCACTGCCCAGTGGGTGTTGGTCATGTCTCTGGGTGCGAGCCTGAGCCAGACACAAGCCAGAGGAAGGTCCCAGAGAGGCCCACGCAAGGTGGCTAAGCCCTTGATGGCATGGAGACGGTTTCCAAGTGCGTACCGAGAGCCTGGCACTCAGGAGCCTTGAGTCATAGCTGGAAGACCACTCAAGAACCAGGGAAGAAGGCAGATCCTGAGTGAGTCAAGAGTCTCTCCTTTCTCTCATCCAGCTCCCACCCAGGGCAGGCAGCCCACCAGCACCCGTGATGGACAGGACAAAGCCTCCTCTTTCTGATAGCGCTAATTCTAATAGTGCTGGTTAGAATTATGAGCCAAGCCATCAAATCCTTGAGCAGGAAGCAACCAAAGGGATGATCGACCCTTGGTTTTCAGTGAG